ATATAACGTAATAATATATCAAAGAAGTAGTTAAGAAGTATTTTAACACTTTAAATGCATTGAAAGCTTAGTAAGTAAGTAAGGTCTATGAAACAAAAGCAATTATATAAAACATATCTAAGATGTAAAAGCATAATAATAATAATAATAATGGAAATTATAAAAGAATACATAAAACACAGTAGTTGAATAATATTAAAGTCCTCCACTAAAGACATAAGATTAGATCTATGAAATAATGGCAATTAAGTATGTAACGGGCCTTTGATATCTGAAAGCATTATAATGATGGAGGGGAACTTTAAATTGAATATAATAGTTTCGCTTAGGTTTTCGTACCATGAGCGCGAACACTAATAATCGATAGTCCTCGACATATCATTTTAATTCTGGTAAGGGAGTTTGTTGTAGCAATACCACGTGTCTCTGAGAACCGCACACACCCACCGATTGAATGCATGTCATTGTGTTGCATTATATCAGCTAATTTCGGCGGGAAAAAGAATCCACACACTTTCATTTATGGTTATTTAGTTAATGTTACTTATTAACGTGCCGTGTAGTGGTATTGTAATCCACTAGCCCATATCGTCCCGTGGGTGTCGTAAGAGGCGACAGAGGGCAATAAACCAGGAGATGGGCAGCAGCGTCTTCCTGATAACAACTCAAAATTATAAAAAAAACTACGGTTGCCAACTTACCTGCCAAGCGTGACAATTATGGAAAAATCCCCTCTATGACGATCTATTACAATTATATGTCAAATTTAAATTATTATTACATATTAAATTAGGCATTTGTATATTTAAATTATGTCTTAAATTATTTTCCTGTGGCAATCCCTGTATATAAGGCAGTGAGAACAAGACAATTTTGTGTACATTTAAGTTATTAAGTTGTTCAATATATCTTAATAACTGTTTGTTGTTTACACTGCCTCTTCTACCAACAAAAATTATTATTGTAATATTTGGGCAAAATTTAGTAACAATAATTTTATTTAGAATGTCACTAAAAGATGCTCCAGGCATGCAGCAATTTGTAACTTTTTGTCCCTTTAAAGAGTTATTTAAAGTTATGCGTAGATTTTTTCCCATGTCATCGCTATAAACAATTATATTATTTTTAGTAATATTTGAGTTGTTTATTATTTTAATATCCTCTGCTATGGCACTGTCATAGAGTTTTGGTGGTAGTATAATATTATCAGCACACATCGACTCTGAAGAATCTGACATTGAACTCTGACACTCACATTGATATTTAACTAAGGAGTCAAACCGCTCCTCATTATATTTACAAGTCTTTAACAGATTATCCATAGCCAATATGTGTTCTTTTATTTCATTTTGGGCTGATTTATATTTATTGGACACAGTTTGAAGGGAGTTCATAAGTGATAATATTTCTGATTTAAGGCACTCTACTTCAGTCTCATAACATTTTTTTATGTTATCCACCTCAATTAAATACAACTTAAGATCATATAACAATGCTAGCTTTTCTTTACATACATTAACATAATTTTTGGTATTAATCTTATTTCTTATTAATTTTTGTACTTTATGTATTTAATAACTTTTATATACTTCTTCAATTTGGTTTTACTGCAATTAATCCTTACTGTGTTTCCTGAAGTGGAAGAGTCGTCACCAGTCAAGTCTATTGTTGCAGATTGCTGTAACATTCTTGAAGTGTCACATTGCGCAAGCTCAGAGAATAGGCTTGAGTCTGGGAGGCTTTAAGGTTATCTATATATGTTTTAAATTGTGTTATTTGCTCATTAGCCTCATTCAACTGTAACTTCAATGCAGCAATTAAGCTGAGAGCTTCCTCATATTCCTTGCTGCATTGGTCATACTCATTAACCGTTCCCTGTAGCTGATCTCTTTCTTTTATAACACTTGTGTATTCTGTATGTAACTTAACCATATCACATTTCAATTGTGTATTTTTGACAATTATGCTAACTATTTCCCTTTCATTATCCTCCCTTTCCCTAAGCAACAGTTCACACTGCTCCCTGGATGCCTTAAGTTCTTGGAGCGCAAGCTGGAGTTGGTTCTCCATCCGGCGCGTCTTGGCGTTGCGAGTATTAATTTTACTATTTATTATAAATAATAAAAGAAAACAAAGATCGAAAACAGAAGGAGCAGAGTAAGCTAATGTAAAGTTGTTGTTGTTTTTTTTTCTATTTACAAGTTTCAAATCAACTTATCGTTAAAACAATTCGAAAAGAAACCCGCAAAGAATGTAATAATCTGAGTAATAGAATAAATCTTTAATTTATAAAAGGAATGATATGAAATAAGGATTACAATAATTTTTAAAACAATGTTCGTTACCTGTCACTTTTTGCTCCAACACCAAATTGTTGTTATAATATTTATAACAAAGCGGCAGTAATTATTAACTATAACATAAAATTGAGGTGGATATGGTGAATTTACAATATTTAAATTATTAATATTTATCGGGACCAATTACTTTTACAACTTATCACCAGGGTTGCCACAGCAAAAAAAAAATTGGGGCGGCCTATGTTCAGCAGTAGACTTTTTTGGCAGTAATGGTAATAGTCTTATTAACGTTATACTATGATACGCCTGTGCTACTTTTAGATAACAACCTTGTTGCCAAAGTGCATAGGGAACATATTTTTTATATACTCGTAGAAAAAAGTGACACAGAATCCACCTGTTGGTGAGTGGTTGCTGTGACCCATAAATATCTGTATCTATCTTTGGTTAAGAGTCAAAATACAGATTCGTTGTCGACCCTGAGGACTAAGATGGAATGCGTCGTCTCCAGTAAAAGGGGTCTCCGGCTCTCTACACTCGCCATACGAAACTCAGCAGCATTAAGTTGCTATTTTACTATGGTATTCTGTGAGAGCGTAGTCCTTCCCAAGTCGGGGCGAACCAGATGTGTTACAATCATGTTATAGCTGCAGCGCGCCTCTACCATGTATTATATATGGACTTTAATATATAACTTTTATTATAGATAAATTAAAAACTACATTATCGTATATGCGTGTGTGTTGCGAGCGGTGCCATTTGTACGATAGCTGCATTGATGCTTATTGCTATTCGCAGTATTACGTATTGTGATGGATCTGCAGGTAAGCTGCGCCTGATCAAATACATTTTGTGGTTCTGGTCGATGAAAGTGTGGAGCGGGTGGAGATTTCTGTCGAGATTAGATGTATGTTGTGTTCTGTCGCATTGCGTCTATGCGGCTGTTGTCTAGACATGCCGCTATAAGCAATGGTCTTGGATGGGCTCACAACTGTCTCCCTTAATGGCTGACGGCTGCAAACTGTCTGACCTACCTCATGTTTTATATAACAACATATTAAGATAAATGAATGTATTTGTGACCTTCTACCCTCTGAGAGTATATTGGTTACTTGTTGATATGGAACACGATTGAATATGCATATACTCAACGGCAGTTACACTGTTTTTGGTGACTTTATTATAATTTTCTTTTTGGCTCTATCTGACGTTATTTTCATTGGTTGCTGGAACAAATTTGTTAAGCTCATGCTGGTGATAGATGACAGGAGTAGGAGATGGTGATGTCATTCAAATAAATCACGTTTGCAACTGCAGTGTTCTGGCTGATTGCATCTACGGAATTCTTTTGTCTTAGCCAGTGCGACTTTTTTAAACTTATTGAGCACAAAAATATAACATTTCTAAGAGATATTTTTAAACATAAAAACAGCTGGTGTTGATTTTATTATTCAGTCATCTTATTCACGGTGTACATACATCTATAATTATGTTATAGTAGCGATCCGCCCTGATTTCGCACGGGTGATTTCTGCATCTCGACAACAGCGCCACTTATCGGGTCCAAATGTAAATCTAAACCATCTAGGACTGTTGACTGGGCAACACACAAAAAAATTTCATCAAAATCAGTCGAGCCGCTTTTGAGTTTTAACGAGACTAACACAGCAAAAACTTTTATAAGTATAAGAGATTAAAAGTATGTAACCTCATAAATAATACGCTCAAAGGGAAATAAAGTTATATGCCCGTGAATAAATTAGTTATGAATATCCTGTTTGATTTCCGATAAAATAAGATTTCAAATAAATTTCAATAATGTTCCAAATTTCGTCCGGTAGCTGATTCTGAATGTTAGGTTAAGAAATCGGAAGTTTGGAACCGTTATTTTATTTCGGCTATTATTCGACCAAACCATATGCGCTGACATGCGCATCCTGGATCGAAGTTTATGTTTACTTGTACTGATTAAAATTAAGTAAAATGGAAACTCTTTACTTTTCGAAAGTACAAAATTCAGTATAGCTTTATAGCTTTACCACGTAAAAAATAGAATGCACAAAACAGTATGTCCGTCCATTGAAAACCTTAGGTTGTATATAGCAATTTAAAAAAAATATTTATTATATAATGTTCATAGATGTAATCTTTGGTTAGTATAGGTTATAAGTAAATATTATCCTTTGTTTAATATAAAAAACGCATCAAATCGTAATGATGAAAATATTTACTTTATTTAAAATATTGTATAGAATAAAACTTTACCTGCTTGAAAAAAGGTCGTTTCATACTCGTATTCCCTGATTTTCATCTAACCTAGCACCCGTTGAACTGTCAGATTTCCATTTACTTTAGTGACATCAATGTGAAATCCACCTCCACTCAACGTTAAGAGCACTCTCGTTTCTAATTAGACATTAATTGGGTTAGGGTGCAAGAGTGCGAAGAGTCCTTTGTCGGTTTCTGCTACTTAAAAGACTTGCCGTCAAACTTAGCTTTACATTAAGCGACTATTTAATGGCTCTACTACGACCGCATTGCGTGCACTCCAACCTATGAAGATACCTCATTTATCAGATCAAATATGCGAGAGGAAAAAAAAGAAATTTAAAATTTGAATTTCAAACACTCATACTAGAGTTTATATCAGAAATGTTAGTCAGTTGGCCGCCACGCGCTGTCGGCGTCGCACGCAGCGTCATGTTTCGCGCAGTGTCAGTCGGCTGGAAGAAATATTGGTGGGGAACAGGTACGGACGCAACAATCATAACATCCTCAATAATGTGTCAAATCATTGATATATATGTCATGAGCGTAGTCAATCTAATTACGTATGAACGACTCTACATTTTTGCTATTCACATCTACCGCATAATTTTTCTCGGTCAAGTATACTAGTGTTTCGGAATATGAAATTAATTTATGTGTTCTTTAATAACTTGCAAAAAACATATGAAAATTATTAATAATTATTTAACTATTTAATATATTTATTGAATATATATTTGGCAACATACCCATAGTTATGAACGCCTCGTTTCACGCAAGCCGTTTCAAAGTACGGTCGGTGGCGCGTTTGCCTCAAACTATTTACGTGCGTATTCGTTCGGCTTCGGATAGCATTCGAGTGTTTCCGTAGCACGTGGTTGTGTTTGACAAGTATATGTTTTCCGGATTTTTGTACAAAATATGCAAAGTAATTTCATGCTTCGATAACTAATTTTAACGCTTAAACTTTTTAAACATTATTTTTATTCTACAATTGTGTGCCAGAATAAGAAACTATAAGGCCTTATAGTCGTTATTTTTTTTGCTTTTTCTAATTAAAATAAAAAAAATTGTCCGAATATTTACAAAGTAGTTTATATATATTTAACTTCTACAGATATTAATTTTTATCGTCTATTTTTATTAATAACATTCGATGCTATGTAAATAAAATAAATATTTAAATAAAAACGGTGGTAGCTTCGGGTCTAAACGCTAGCTGTTGTCAGAGTTCTCGAGCAACGCGGGTTTGATCCCAACAAATTTTAAGTGCTGATGTACCAAGTGCTCTGCTGTGAAGGAAAATATTCTGAGGAAACCTGCATGTCTATTACTTAAAAATATTTTGAGGACATCTAAAGCCGCTAATACGTAGATACTGGAACAGCGCTTTGGATTAATTGCTCTTTATTCCTCTAATACATTAGAGGCGGCCTGGGCCTGAGCAGTAAACTTTTAAAAATCTATTTATACAATAATTATTTATTTATTAACAATAAATTTAATAATGCGTATCGTAAAACAGTTATGGTTTATTTATTTTCTTAAATGTACTATACATTGATAATTGTATGAAAGTATATATTTTACATATATGTATTTTATAATATACATAATATATTACCATAAACCTACTTGAAGTCATCACATTCTGTGTTTAATGAGAATCAAAAATTTTTAAAATATAAGATTTTAACAACCGTATGTGAATATTTTAATCCTTACATTAAGGTAATCATTGATATTTTCGCCACCAGGGCGGCGCCACTTAGCAATATGATAAAATATCTGACAGATTTCTTTTCAGGGAAGTTAATTTGTTAGGAAAATGTAAGAGTTAATGTTTCTTTCTGTAAATAGGTTATGTTTTTATCACATAAATAAGAAATTAATAAACTAAACTATAGATATTCCTAAAAGTATAAAAAATAAAAAAGTTAAAAATTTTCAAAAAATTAAAGAAAATACCACTGACGGATTGTTTTGTGTATTTTCTTGTTACTCTAGAAACCGATAAAGTTTTATTTAAAACGCAACATCTCAATTAGATGAGGCTGTGGAACAAAAAACTTCACCTGAGCTCAAGCAGCGACATCTGCTGAGGAGAAGATTAAACCATCATTATGAACGAGTATTTACATTTTAAGCAATTTAATTGAGAATTTACCTTAATTACTCTATATCTAATTAAATCGTAATTTCTTTTAAAAAAATATAAAATTTATAAAAGTAAAAAGGGCCGACCATGCAATGACGGTGTAAGAATATATATCTACTACTCCACATTACACCGAAGGTGTCGTAAGGGGCGACAGAAGAAAAAAAACAAGGAGATAGGCAGCAGCAACTATCTAATAATAACTAAAAATAAAAACATGCGATGGTGGCGTCGAACACTCGGTTGGAACGAAGTTCCTTTCGTAGTATATTAAGTATTATTGATAAACATATTATATTATTGATTAACAAATACAAATAAATGAAGTATGTACTAGCGTCTACTGAAATGAAGCGTCATTTAAAATCATATTTCTTTCATGGCAAGAAAAGAAAAAGTGCGAGGAAGATGGATATTATTTCATCTCGTTCGCCCTATAGAAAGGGTCGTGACAGTAAAATTTTACACTTTTTGTCGCCTAGCCCCCATCTGCCAAATTCGTACCGTGCGATAAGGAACTTCGTTCCAAAAAAAATGCTGTTGCCAACCCAAGCCTGCCAAGAGTGGCAACTATGGCAAATATCCCTGAGTCAATCTATGTGGGAGGTTTATGTTTAGCAGTGGACAATCGATAGGCGTTAACGGTAAAAAGGGCAAGAACAATACTATCCTAATTACTATTATTCATATGGACGTTAGGTATTTTATGTATTCATAGGTCACATAAAATAGCTGATTCAACACTAGGATATTATACACTGCTGTAACAAAAAAAAAATTCGGAATATAAATATAGGTGGATGTACTTACTAATATTATTTAAAAGGCCTTCACTATAAAAATAGACGAGCGCAAAAACTAGTAAGCAATAGGTTAGTAGTAATAAACACATCACAGTCATGTAGTATTTACAAATCTCAAAGTATTATGAGAACGAAGCTGATTATTGAATAAGTTACGGTAACTTCTATGAAACAATTTCTACTACGTAGTGAAAATTGTTCAAATCGAATTTAGAACATAGGAATTTAGTTAATTTGCTTGTAATTTAAGTAGTAATGGATCACTAAAGAATTATGCGTCGTATTTAAAAAAAGTAATTTTCTCAGGGATGAAACCTATCTATAAAACGTGGAAAGTGAAACATTATCTAAATAAAACATCATATCTATGTCATTAGAGCCGTTTCTGAAACTCTACCAATACAAGAACCTTAAAACACAAAAATTACTCACTTAAATTATACGATAATTCTCCTTTGTTGGATTTTTTCTGTTAATGGATTTGCAAATCACAGTAACAAATCTTTAAATCTTCTATTCATATAATTTCCAAGATAAAAATAAAAATTGCCTACAATTATATTACTATTATAATAGTAACAAATTGCCTATCATTAAAAAAAAACTAGTTATGGTTCGATGTCCACACCATCGATTTGATTAAAATCTACCGCATACACAAACACCTGCCTGCCTGCTAGCGTTGCGCTCTTCAAAATACGTAATTATATACTAAAACAAGTTGTGTTTCAAACAATAAAACATCTGTGGTTTCATAATTTTGTTTGTGGAAAATATAAACTACGAACTTCGTACGTAAGTTCATAATGTAAATCGACAATAGCCTAATGGTTTATGGTGCAGAGCGTCAACTCAAAAATCGTGACTTTATGAGACAAGCATTTTATTTCTACAACTCCTCAGACATGTTTTTTAGTTTACCTCATATTTCAATGTTAATATAAATTAATATTTATTAAATAAAAAAGTAAAAAGTAAAGTACCTAATAATTATAATGGATATCGTCACACATTGTGATATTATTTTAGAGTATCTGCTTTGTGTTTATCTGTGCATATCATGCAGTGTTATTTAGGAGTGCTTATCTGTGCGGTTTTTTTAAGTTATTCAGGCATGGGAACTATATTCAACATCGTATGTTTTTAACGCTTTTAGTTTTATTAATATTTCTTAGGCTTATATTATTTAATGCACTAACGTGGTAGAGCCACACTGCATCTATAACAACAATAATGCCCTCTAGACCAAAATTCGATCACGTGAAAATGTAGACTGTAACAATACGGCAATGCACTCGCATAATATTTTATAGATCGCGAGAAATCGCTTCAATTCCCGGTGGTAATGCTAATATGTATTATGTATTAAATTTATACATTTATAACTGCTGTCTATATACATATTTATAGTGGATCGAATGCATCTCGAATAAACCTGCATTTATAATAAATAACTGAACAAGCGTGGCTAAAAAGTCCAACTACATAATATTATTTATTTATTAACAATTTATTTTTACGGCTGCACTCACGAAAACCTCTATAAACAATTTATGTTACACATAGTGGTATTTTAGTACTTAAAAGTTTTTCATACTTAATTTTTTCTTTACTTTAAGTTACTATATAAATTATAAATAAATAAATACACTCATGCGACAACGGATACAGACAATCACAACATAACCAGACACGACATTAAAATTTGGGTTTTCAATCAAGTTTGACGGCTCCGTGGAGCAGTGGCTTAGCTAATGAGTTGCTGTGCTGGGGGCCGCGGGTTTGAATCCCGCACGGAACAGGTATTTGTATGGCCTGCAAATAATTGTTCCGGGTCTGGATGTTTGTTCTTCTGCAATTTATGTGTGTAAATTACTTCCAAAATACAGGAGAAAACGTTAAAAGTGGGGGTAACGTTTTTTTTAAAAAAAAAGTAAGAACTCGAACCATGAGATTTGGTAGGGTAATGTAATCACTAAGCTATACGGATCCCATTACTCCACCTACAAAATGGACATGTTAATCTAACTATGTCAGCCAAACAGTTTTCAATTTAAAAAATCAATATGTGAAAATTACTATATGCACTCAACGTGACGGTTTAACTATTCAAAGAAAAATAATAGTCCCGAAATAAAGAGATCATTCGTTGGAGTTAGTATGTTTGTTACGAATGGTTTCATTAAGGACAATTTATAACAATTTGTATAGTTTCGTAGTTCCAGCAAGAGTATATTGTCGCAATGACCTTATGTTGTTTAACTTCGTTACTTATGATTCATCAATGAATACTATCATATATATGTATATGTGTATATAGATCAGTTTATTAGTAAGGACACATATACCACCTACGTTATACCACAAGGCAGTATTTTAGGCCCAACCTTGTTTTTAATTTATATCAATGATCTATTAATCTGAAAATTAATGGTGCCCGAGTATTCAGCTATGCCGATGATACTGCTATAGTTTTTCCTGGAACATCATGGGATGACATCCGTAAAAGCACAGAATCTG